TTTTGGTCCATATTGAGGGTACCATACCACCTTAAGGGATTCTCGGAACCTAAATGCTTGAACTGGCTTGTAACGAGGCGAATTCAAAGAAAATAAAAAGAAAGGCCATACACCGCGTATAACTTTCTTATTATCATTTTTAAAAAAAGCAGACAAAAGCAGCGGAGAACGGGAAAAAAAAAGATAGCGAGAAGGAAGAAAGAAAGAAAAAGAAGGAAAAACGAAAAGAAAACAAAGAAAAACGAAAAAAAGGAAGAAAGAAAGGGAGACATGCAGACAGGGAGAAAGATTGTGTGTGAAATATTTTAGAAAAGTAATAAAAGCGTGCGACTGAATTTATTTTGGAAATGGCAATTGGAAGTTGGCACTGGCGCATGACAAGAAGGCGGTGGAGGAGGGCGTTGGCTAAATACAGCAAATTCGCAGTCTTTCCGTAGCCCCATAGATACAACGCTATGAACGAGTTTCGCTTTACATCGTAGTATTAGTAATAACCTTTCAAGGAAGAAGCGAATAGCAAGTTTAAAAGGAAGCACGCGCTTGTACAAGGAAAGGTTATCACAAGCTTTTACCAATTCCCATATTGATCTTAGGCAAAACGATCTGGGGCTCTGGAAAAGAGACTAGGCGAGAGATTGGGAAAGCGTTGGTATCCAAAATCATTTGACTTAATGCCAACTGACGCATTCTCGTCCCCATAGCCCTTTTCGCTTCTCTTAGCCGGCGGCAGGAGCCCATCCTGCCAGCGGGGCCTTGGCACGAGAAACAAAGGCCAGGCCCCGCCAGCTAAGAGAAGCTAAAAGGGCTACGGGGACGATAATGTAACTGACGTCGTTAACCTCGACTCTGCTGCTGTGCAATTTAGCATAATTTATTAAAGTCACACCCATACAGGGGGAGGGGCAGGTCTAACAGTACCAGCGAGGGTATTTATATGGGTAACAACATTGCAACCCCAACTTTATTTGCAGGGTAGAAGCAGGAAACAGAAACAAAACACTGATTATGGTGGCAAAACATGGGTGGCAGGGAAGACAGAGCCTATCTTCTCTAGAGAAGCGGCGTCTCGAGGGGAACCTATGTTACTAAGGGGACCAGAAGAGGAGTGCCCTTCTGGGAGGACAATAGGTCAGATGGTACGATGGCACCATCCTGGAGAGATCCGGACCTATTTCC